TGAGCAGAGCACAGAGCCACTGCCAGGAGCAGTTCCTGACCTGCTGGGACTGGGGAAACTCAGGGTTGTGAGCGGGACCAGGAGCTGTCAGTGGTGGGATGGGGCTCCGGGGTGTGTGAGCCATCTGGTCTCTCTGGTGCCAGGGTGTCCAGATGCCATGTGCTGTGGAAACAGCACGGCTGTTCCTGTGGGTGGAGAGACAGCAGGGACCATGCTGGGAATCCTCTGAGAAACCTGAGGGGTGGTTTCTGCTGAGGGCAAAGCCCAAATACAGTTTTCCACATGGGTGCTGCTATCCCAGGAAAGGCACACGGTGGATGGGGAGGGGAGATGGTGCTGTGGCCCCTCAGTAACATTTTCCTCAGCAAGAAGTGGCTGAGGGCAGCAGGCAGGGCAGAGGCATTCCCACCCACAGCAGACGTGGGTGCCTTTGGCAGAGCTCAGCCTGTCCTTTGGGAAGGGCTGGGAGCAGCGTGTGCCGTTTCTGTGCTCGGCTCCCGGCACATGGAGCACTGTGTAAAATAAAATCCCCCTCCCTTTTCAGGTACTGCTGAGGCTTGGTGGAGCTGTGTCAGCGCTGCAGTGGGCCCAGGTGATCCATGTGCGAGCAGAACGTGGTGTGGTTGGGACCACGTGGCTTCTGGGGAACCGCACTTGCCAGACCAGACCCCTCCTGTGAGCCTTTGCCTTGGCCTGGCTTTGGTTTCAGGGCACTTTTTGGATCCAGTCTCCATTCAGACTGCTTGTGCCAGCGCTGAGACCTTACATCTCAGGTGTGATGGCTCTGCCAGTCCCACAGGTGATCTCCCAGGCCAGGTCCTGACCCCAGGGGCAGTGGGAGGGTGCAGGGCTGGCCTGCCTTGCCTTGGTGAGAACCAACCACAGCAGAACCATCCATGAGCCTCAGGAAAAGGAGTCAGTTTGGGTAAAATTACCCTCTAGACTTTGGTAAATTGTTTCTGGGGTTTAGGCATGCATCAAGCTTGGGGTAGAAATCCCTGCCTGCCTTATTTTGTACTCCTATTCATAAAGGCATACATAAATGCCATATATTTAAAAGACCTGTGAGTAAGGAGTTTTTCCACCCCTCAAAAGGATGTTCTGCTATTGTGTCCCAAAAAATCTAAAGGAAAACATAGTCTGTACTAGTGTGGATGGTATCACAAGCTCTCTTGCCAAAAAGGGACTTGGAGTAGTTTTTTTTTTATCCCTAAAGCTTACATAAACCCTCCTAAAATGAATACACAAAGTAGATAAGGTGTTTGATCTTATACGCACGTACACCCAGTCTCTTTCCCTTGATTTTTAGTGGAAATTTCAGGTGTGTGAGGACCCAGAGATAGCAAAGATGAGTGAATAAGGCAATTTTGATCTGTGAAACTATAGTTCTCTTGCTTCTATTCTGATCCTGCTCAAGTTCATCAGGAAAGATTAACTTTGGCAGCTTGTTCAGTGTGGCTTAATTCATAACATAACTGTAAGCTATTGCCCTGTGTTTATATTTCCCATCCATTTCTCACATTTCCAAAGCATACTGATATGTGATCCTGGCAATTTAGCTACCATAATTGGCATTTTTCTAGGGCCAAAAGGAAACAAATTCCTTATCCTCCATACTTCTTTAATTTCTGAAAAACAACAAGTAACATAGTTAATCCTCTTTTTTGATCTTTTCCCCCTCCTTTGAGTTTTTCTTATGGTCTTTTCCTTTTAATCTTTTACTTTCTTTTTAATCTTCACTCATTGTCCCCCTGCATTTGAAGAGTTTCATGTACTTACATCTCTAAAAAGAATTGGACCACTTTATGGAAATAGCTCTTTAGGATCTTGTTCAAAGCACCGTTATGTACTTTTGGCTTTTTGGGGGAGGGTTAAGAAAGGAGAGAAAAAACAACTTTAAAGCAGTGTTTGTTTGTGTTGCCTAACAGAATACTGATCTGTTCAACTAGATGCAGAAACAGTGGACGGAAACACCCTAAATTACAATAAACTCAGATTGCATTAGATGATCAGGAGGATAAATAAGCATCTGCCTTTAACTGAGTTGGGTCATATCAGCTAACTCCTGATGCAGGTGTGTTTGGGCAAGAGCATTTCAGGAGGGGCAAAGCAGGGCAGCACAGGTGAGTTCAATGATCCATCAGTGAGCAGTTTCTCCAAAGCAGGGCGGCACAGGTGAGTTCAATGATCTATCAGTGGGCAGTTTCTCCAAAGCAGGGCAGCACAGGTGAGTTAAATGATCTATCAGTGGGCAGTTTCTCCAAAGCAGGGCAGCACAGGTGAGTTCAATGGTCTATCAGTGGGCAGTTTCTCCAAAGCAGGGTGGCACAGGTGACTTCATTGGTCCATCAGTGAGCAGTTTCTCCAAAGCAGGGCGGCACAGGTGAGTTCAGTGATCTATCAGTGAGCAGTTTTTTTCAAAGCAGGAGGGAAGGAGCTGTGCTGTGTCTGGAAGTCATAACACTTCCCGTGGCTGAGCAGGGAGCAGCCGAGGTCCTGCCACTTATCCAGAAATGGCACCTGGAGGCCCCTTTCAGTTTAGAGGCAGAAGACTTTGCCTGCTGAGGTATGTGTGTTCCTTGGCTTACAGTTTTTTTGTACATGTGTGTGCAAAGCCTTTAAATGTTTTTTTTTTTTTTTGCAGTAGCAGGCAGTGTTAAGGCTACAAGTTTTAAGTGTTAAGGCTGCGTCGTCCTTTCTCAGGTGGTGTGGGGGTCGCTCTGTGAGCAGTCATGTGGAAACTGGTGAAATGTGGTGTCTGTTGAGCTAAGGGTGGTGCACTCTGGCCCCGAGTATCTCTCCTCTGAGAGATGGGTGGGTTACAGTGTGCTTGGAAAGGAAGGTGTAGCACTGAGTTCAGCGGGCCAGGAGTCTGTGTTTGTGAGCTACCTGGGGCACGATGCCCACGTGTTGACAAGCATGGTCCGAGAGTTAACATGGTAATTTAGCTTCCAGGGTTAGGCTGATGTGCTTTCTTTCCCCACCGTTCAGACAGTCAGATCCCCAGGACTTGGTGTGACTTTATTAAAAAAGTGCTTAGGCTTGTGAGGCTGTCAGATCACTGCCTAGCATAATATGCAGTGTTAAACCACCTTATTTCTAAGAAATACTGAGTGTACACCTCAAGAATCGATGTGCTGCAGCTGTGCTCTAAGAGGCGTGGTGAAGTGCAGGCATAGTGCTCCTTGTTCATAGCATACCCAAAACTGTCCCTGGGAATTCACCTGAGCGATTTCTATCACTTGTTTCTCATTTGTAGTGTCCTAACCCTCACCTCCTCTCTCTTCCCCCCCCCCCCCCCCCCTTATTTTTTTATTTATTTTGCCTCTACTGAAAAGGCTCAGAAACTTAGCTAACAGGGGTCATGTGTTTTCTCAAACAGGCAAGAAATTTACAGGATTAGCATGTGTCCAACCTAATTTGTGAAAAATCACATGCTTCTTTTACTGAAGCAAATTCTTCAAAAAAACAAACAAACAGTAAGAGTTTACAGAGTTCTGGAAAAGTCGCACAACCTAAATGAAAATCCTTTTCCAGTTACCTGAATATAAATTGGGCATAGTTCCCCTGGAGGTTTTATACTAGTTTAATGTATGTATTTTAATTGTAGTTAAATTGCTGATAAAGCTTTTCTTCTCTTTCCTCAAAATGAGATTAGGTTGTTCCAATCTGTTCTCCTTTACCCACAAGAATAGGTGAATAAGATCTCTCCCATAACTTGGCCCCAGCCAAGAACAGGATTTGGTACTGCTCTTTATGGGATTTTTTTTTTTTTTTAAGGCTGATTTTAAAACAAATAGTTAAAACGTGGAGCTGAACACTTCTTCTAGAAGTTGCATATTCTAAATGTACTTATAGCATAGTCTGCTGCTCATATAAAATTACAGACTTCACTTTCATCTTTCTTTTTACAAGAAACCCTTAATGACAAATGCAGGCTGTTTAGTGATACCGATATACTGCAATCTTAGCATGTGAATTAGTCATCATACAATCAGTTCAGGGGGTCAGGCCTAAAGAAACAGTGCAGAGTTGGCAAACTGCTAGTCTGGTGATGTGCTCTCCACTTCAAAGTCATGGTGCTTACTCCCCAGAATTCAGATCACAGAAAGGAACAGCTGGTATTGTCGTTTGTGGTAGTAAGGGCTTTTTTTTTTTTTTTCTTTTTTTTTGTAGCAAGATAAGGTTTCACTACTTTGTAAAACAACAATTTACTTTAGAGTGACCTAGCCTGTAAAACACAATAGGAAGCAGGAATCCACAGAGCACTGCTCTGCTATTATCATGCAAGTAGACATGACCTGCGAGAAACCACACTGGAGAAGACTTAACCTCCTTGCTCCTTGTCTGAAAATATTCAGTGTAGTCCACTTGTCAGTGGCAGTCAAGGGTTTCATTTTCCAGAACGACTTTATAAGCAGTTCTTTTCTGTTTGGATATTACTCTCTTGCACGTTTCCCATGTGGTTTTTGTGGCAGCACACCCCTACAGACTATTAGTCCTAAGGCTTAATGCAGGCACATTCAGCTTTCCACCTAAGCTCTGAGGCTGTCAAATTTGAGTTGAAATTTTTCATGCTTAACTTGTAGATGGCAGCTGAACGAAATGCCATATTTTTTTTTCTCCTACCCCTACATGTCTATCACATCCCACTGGTGTTTTTAAAGTCCTTTCACTTGGTAACCAGAGCAGATTTTTTTCCCCCAAATATTGGGATGTGGATGGTGGGTAGGGGAATAAGAAATTAAATTGCATGTTTTAAACTGCCTGGCAGATCTATGTCTCAGGGATGTGATATTGTTATTATTAATAGACTTCACAGACAAGGAAGGCTTATCAGCCAAATGCCTCATTATCAAGTGACTGGGACTCAATAAGTGCTTAACAGCATTCTTTACCAAAAGAGGAAATGATTACAGGCCAGATCCAACTCCTGCTGGAGCTAGTGGATAGAGTCCCACTTCAGTGAAGCATCACTTGGGGCCCCTAAGATGCTCACTCCCCTCTGTTTTCTGACGTGCTTTTAAATTCCCCAAAATGAACCAAACAGCTTTAGCTTCTCTCATCTCGCAATGTGTTCTGCAACTTCTGGAAAGGAACCTGGACGCAAGGAAAAACGCTACAGAACAAAAAGAGCCACAATACAAACCATATGACAACGCCTATTTCTTCATCCTCTTTGTCATGTTGTTTTACTCTTTCCTGGCGTTAACTGTCTTTTTTGGTTATGTACGCTCGAAGAAAGCGATTTCAAAGCAAGATCCTTACCAGGAGTTCATCGAGGACAGGAATCGAAATAAGAAGTGGAACATGACCCGGCCAGTGGTGGTGAAATTCGACTTTGAAGAAGAAAGTATTCTTTGAACTCCTTAAAACCAAAATACTCTGCAAAATGCACCGGACTGTCTCTGCTGCCAACATCTCGAGGGGAGATCTACACATTTATCTTGTTCGTCTGTTCCCCTCACAATAAATCAAAGCATTGCTCAAAATAGGTAACAGAAAAAGAAGTTTAATTCTTTTTTTTTTTTTTTCTTGTAAGCCATTTGTTGCTGGAATATATATTTTCTACGTTTTGGAGAAATCTCGGAAACTTTAAAATGACAGTGAAAAGTGGACATTTTTTGCTTTCACTTCCAGTTTGGTGCAACAAGAATGGGAATCCGTCCTATGCTGAGGTTCTGAGTTTAAGACAGAGGACTCGTTTGTGTCGCCCACACTCACTGCAGGGGAATGCTGTTTCTTCTGAGTCGTTCAGACCTGGGAACTGGAGTGTAGTGTCCCTGGAAAGTGCCTCCCTCGAATAGCAGAATGCATTTTGCCTAGACCAGCAAATACTATTTAACATGTAAATATAGAAAAGATCCTCTTGCGTTCCCTCCCCTCAAAAATTAATTTCGTATGCTACGGCCAAACACTGAAAAAAACCATCTGCAAAACGTAATTAAAATGCATCTAGTGGAAAACCAGGTTGTGTGTTCAGTGAATTTAGAGTCCTTGCCTTTTTCATGTTTTGCATGTATTTATTCTTCACCGGCTTCTGATTGAAGTGTATGTTTCAGTCCTAGAGAATGGTAACTACAGCTGATCACAAACCTAACAAGGGAAGGGCTTTTCTGTATTTGCAGTAAATATTTGCTAAAATACTGCACAAGCTTTGTTCAGAGTTACACTGAATACATTAGACCGCCACATGATTTACTATTTTTTCTCTTGCTTAATAAGTATTGAAAAAAATAATAGAGTTCTGACATAGAACATATTGCTATGCTTAATATAAAAGAACAGTGCTTAAGTGCTTTGTGATATCGTGCATGTGATATGACACACTGCTTTGTGATAGAACACGTTATAGTCTTCTGAGACTTTGTTTCCCGCCATATCCAAGGTCTCCTGATTAATGGTCTCTACTTGTTATAGAACTGCTTAGATACATTAAATGTAGTTGCATTACAGAGCCAGTTGCTGCTCAGAGGGCTGAGCACAGTAATCATTTTCAGGTGGAAGGTAGGCTCTGATTGTTCCTTACTATGCATACGAAGCCAAAATAGGGCAAATGAATTTCCATGTACGTATTAACTTCTCTTTTTCTGCTAGTAGAATTATAAGGTTAAGGATTTCATTTTTTTTTTTTTTTTCTCTAAAGTGTGTAGTATTCAGGATTTTGTATTGACTGTTTTAGGGATGAGTTGATTTTTAGTTCTTTCAATATTCAGAAAAAGCTTTTATATGTATTCAGCCTGGGCTGAACCATCAGATGTTGTTCTCCTTTCCTGATGGGATGTGTTAAGCGTTTCTGGTGTGTGTGCAAGCAGGGAGGTTGATGCTATGCATAATCCTCTTCTCATAAAACTAAAATTTACTTCCCACTTGCCAGCATGAATGTTTGTAGAAGTAGGTGTTGACTTAGCTCATGGTGCTCTGTTTCTCATAGCTGTGCCAAAGGAAGATAATAAGGTGATACTTGCTCTGCCTTCAAGGATTCCTTGGCCAGGCAGGGGCTGCTCCGTTTGCCTAAATGTGGGGGTGGGATATGTGCAGAACAGTGATGTGGAAGTGAATGTACATAAGTATTTCAGCAGGCCAGAAAACGTTCACAGATGTACTTTTGCTTGATTCATCCAACTCCAATTTAAATGGTTTTGACTATAGTAACAAGACCAGAGTTGCAGTTCTTGCACAAATCAGTGTTTTGTCTATGTTATACGTGTCCTGGCTGCTTCATCTACTGAGTTTGGGGTGAAAAAAAATGAAAGTTCAAGTTATCTGTGTTTGCATCATGCTCCCGACTTTGGAGTGTATGAAATGAAAATCACTCTCAGTTGGGTGCCTTGTAAGGGCTTGGAGCAAGTGAAGAGACTTACTCTTTCAAACACTGAGTTTTGGCTGTTTGTGTTCTGAAAAGCTGTGTAAATGTGGATTTGCTCTCCTGGTAATCTTTTACTGTTTTTCTCTTGTAGTCAGTGTTTTATAACTCTTTGCAGCGTGTGCTTTGCCATCTTAAAAATTAAAGATAATTTTTTTTTTTAAACTTCGCTCAAACCCATGTCCTTTATTTCTGTAAGCTGTTTCTGCTTTTGCCTTACCAGGCAATTATCAGATCAGCCTAAATCCCTTAAACATTCTTTAGCAATGTGCTGCCATTGTCTAGCATTTAGGCCTTTTGGAAACATTCACAACTCGCTTAACAACAAGACCGCAAGCTCTTCAAACAATTTTCATAGTGCGTGCCTGGGTTTGTGTGTGTGTATATGCCAACAGCACGAGGCTTTTTCCTATCTCTGCTGTAGCAAAAATATGTTTTTGTCAATATTAGCCACAGGACATGTTGGTGGCATTATTGGCCTTATTTTCTTCTGTGTGTCAAAGCCCGTTTGTCCCTGCCTACCCAGGAGATCTTATTAGCAACACATGAGAGAGGACACTTGCATGCTACAGCACCACAGGCATGTCCTCAGCCACAGGAGTGTTTCTGTACCTTCAATGCAGCTATGTCCCTCTGCCCCTCCTGATATCTAAACCAGTGAGCTAGTGGAGGTAGAGACATTTTAGAGGTGAGGCACAAGAGCTGTGTACAGCCTTGGGAGTTGAATGCCTGCTTTGGAGGACAAGCAAGACCCCTATCTGACACATTGATGTGTTGAGAGGATGAGGGTTAAAAGGTACATCTCCTTCTCTTGGCAGAAGAAGGAAACATGACAAGGGACTGCAGCTCTCGGTCCCTCCATTGCATGATGTGTTGGGTGCCTGCACTGGAAACAGAAGGAGATGAGGGTGGAGAGGATGGAGAAAAATTACATACGTACCATGAGGTGAAGCTGCTGAGGCAGTTAAACCATTTCTTATAATATGAGAATTTTCTACCTCATTTTATGTCTCCTTGTGTGTGAAAGTAGCACCTGTACAGTGTTTCCAGAGCTCACAGAAGCCTCTGATCTGTAACTTTGTCTCCTTTACAGCCACTTCTGGTTTTCTGTGTGTGGAGTGTGAAATGGGAATAGGAGAGCCAAAATAACTCCATTCGTGGTGAGCCCTGGACTGTTTTACATGATTTACACCTCTGAGATGCCTAGACTACTCCAAACTAAGCAGTGGAGAAGAAAGGGGGATGGGGGGGAAGGAGAGCAGTACAAAGCACCACAAAGAGAGCTTAACCCAGGCAAGGGGATGTGATGCTGTGAGAGAGGGTATGTCAGCAAGACTCAGTTCCTACATGCTAATAAGTGCCTTGGATTTCAAAAGTTTTAGTGCCACAAGAAGAGATGGATTCATTTATTGTCTTTGTTTTGTAGTTTTCTTTGTCTCTCTCTACTGAATTAATATTACTCATCTGGTGATCTCTGTTAAGAAGCTTCTTGTTCCTTCCTCCTTGCTAGTAAGAAAAATGCTAATGCCAATTACATCACAGATCCTGCTTTAGTTCCTGTACTTTTTGCTATTTATTGTGGCCCTCTGTAATGTGTTGCAGCTGATGTGTGGGGGTTGTTTTTGGGGAGGTGTCCACTTTGAATTTAGTTTCAGCATTTTGAGATACTTTATGAAAGGCTTCAGTGAAACGCAGGCATGTTGCAGTTTCCACTAGGCTTTTGTGAATTAATACTGTGGCTTTCTCAGACTGGTCTGCCAGAAGGTCTAATTCTGAATAAAATCCCTCTGAGAAATATTAGGTTTTTCCCTACTTTTATATGTATATGTGTATACCTATGTGTGCACATGCATGTTAGTGTATTTGTCCTTCTCAGAATACCAAAAGTATGAAAAATAAGCAAGGTTAGCTAAAACGGTGGATATTTTGTAGTACCCTCATGCTAGTGTATATCTGGAGGAGGTTGACTTGGCTGGGCAACTTCTGGTGCTTGCTTGGATCTAGTACTGAATCTGACATTACGGGTCCATTTTGATTACTTACAGCTCTGATCTCCACAAATGAAGCTTTCTGCTTCCATGGGGAGTATACAATACATATTGTATGCGACCAAGTTTCCCTGGAGCCTGTAGGCAGCTGTAGACATTGAGCATTATTTTGCTGCAGTTATTCATGCATGGAAAACTTCATGGCAGTGACTTCTGTTGCATTCCAGAAAAATTAAGTATGCCTGAATGAAAGCAAGCCTGGCACTATACATGTCCCTACCTTCTTTTCTCTTGTTAGCATATCAGACGCTGCTCGTTGCTTTATCTGTGGCATACTTGTAGGTGTAGGTATTTAGAGAGAAAATACTTTTCTCATCAGAGGAACATCTAAAACAGCTTTATGGAATTGTCCAAGTATCCTCTGGCCTGGATTCAGAGGAGCACACTAGTCTACCCTGAAATCTTCTGTCAGTCAAGTGTATGAATGTGGTGGGAACTTGGAAAGCACATGCTTAAAATTAAACACATGCTGCCATGTTTTCTTGAGCAAGCCTGCTTCCCTAGCTTGGAACCTCAGTAAGTGCAGCAATATGTAGTACAAACTTAAGCAGCTGAAATAGGCTTTTCTTTTTCCTTTTTTTTTTTTTTTGTTTGTTTGTTTGTGTGGGATGTGTAACAGCAAATCCTTTGCTCTGTGAGTAAGCTTAGTGAATTAACAGAGCTCGTGGTACTGGGAATAAGGGAATTCTGGGGGCTTGTTTTGAATCAAACTAATGTGAAACCTCCACAGACTTTTTTCCCCTCCTTAATAGAATGACACACTTAGAGACCTTCCCACTTTTTTTGGCTATTCTGAAAAAAATTGGAAGGTGCAGTAAGACCTGATTGACAACTCCTTGTAGTGTGATTGCACACTACCTTCAACTTGTTTTTTACATTCCCAGGAACAGAACCTTCTTTTCAGCCTGGGAATGCTATGTGACCCAGCACATGAAACTGCATTAAATATAGATGACCTTTGGCAGTGACCCTCCCCCACCATATATTTGCTTTCATCCCCCAAGAAGAAGGACAACCAAAGGGGTCATAAAATTAACACAAGGATAAAAGATTCTGACAATTGAGGTTACGCA